TTTCAACAGAACTGAATGTCAAAAACGGAAGGAAATGCAATGGAACGGAAAATAAAATACATAGACAGTTGTCCATTTAGGACATGTTACATAAAATAAGGTTGGAAAAAAATAAAAATGCAACGGTTGAAATTTCAAGTAAACAGACTTCCATTGACTTCCATTTTAGGTCTGATTTAGGTGTGAACAGGCCTTCAATGTCTCAGGTTAAATAAAGTTGTTTATTGCATACATTTGCAAATACATGTGAAGCCACACTGCCGCGTCAAGGCACTCCTTGTTCTACACTATCTGAGATTCCAACTATAGGACATATACAGTAGAACAATGCGGAAATTGAGAGCAGGTTCACCTGGAAGCAGCCGCCCCCCTACAAGGGGACTCTGTGGTAGGCACCACTGCACGTGGCAAGAGAAGCAGGTATTCGCACCATCAGAAATGTGGCATACACTCAGTGGTACAGGAACACCAGAAGCACAAGATTGCTGAATTCCAGTGTGTGTCTGCACTAAGTCCAACCAAGCAAAATGGCAGCCGCTCTGATCAATTTAAAACCAGCAAAAAGGGAAAGTTGCACATGAGCAAGACAATATAACATTGTTATAACATAGCGTGCCTTGTGGTATAAACAGGCTCTTATTTGTATGTTATCTCAGGCAGCGTCTCTTTGGGTCATGTGGGCCAGAGTGTCCCAGGTTGGTAAGAGCTGGACAAGGGGATGTGTAAAGGCCAAACACTTTCCCTTCCCAGCTTTTAGCAACCTGGGGCACACTGGGTGGTATCCCACCCAGCTCCTGGCAAGCATTGATGGCATTGAGCGGGACAGGACACTGGCCGAAGCTGGGCGGTGTACCACCAAGATACTTGCCAGAGTGTGCACCACCCCATGAAACACCCCTCACGCACACACCTCAGGTGACAATTATGCTAGGGACATCCCTGTATACAGTGTATATACTGTATATATATGTTTGTATATACAGTATAGTTATGGTTTAATAGTATAACAAAAATGGCTACCAGTATCATTATAGTTCCCCTTTAACATACAGAAAGGTCTGTATTAGGCACTCACTGTAAGGCCCTATTCACCCCTGAGTGTGAGTGTTTTCAGGTGATTTTGAAGCTTATTTCTGCATGGTTTTTTTGTGTGTTTTTTAAGTGTTATCAGGCCTTAGCTTTTTTTGTTTGAGACAATTTTATGCTTGGTACTAGGAGGAAGAGACTGTAGTTAGGTGAGCAATGACGTGAAAACACACGCTGCATGCATTTTTCAAGCACTCCTCCTGAAGTAATTGGGCCAGAAACATGCAATTCTGCCTGAAGGAAAGTTCATATACTTTTTCAGGTGACAGGCTCCAAGTCATCGAGCACTATTGAAAACATTGGGATTCTGTTTTTGGGCTTTGTCATGTGCAGGGAAACATGTGACCAAAGGCTCAGGTGTGAACGGGGGCCTAAGTAGAAACCCCATACAAAGCACCAAGCTGACTCTTAGTCTGCTTTCACATTTGTACGCTGTGACAACGTGCTTGAAGACGTGCGTGCGTTACTGCAGCTCACCAATACGTTTGTCACTTTGCGGTGCCATGCATTATTAGGCTCCATTCACATGAGTCAATCTGGTATTCCTGCGGCAGAAATGCCAGGTGTCCCCGATCAGATGCAGCTTCTGTACACATTGAAGAAAATGACTGGATGACAGCGGCCTGAAAGTATACATGGTAGGATTACATGTGCTTTGGGATACATGATTGTCCCTAGATGCAGGGTAGATGCATCCAGTGGCAGTCATCTATTTTAAACAGCATGTAATCGTTCCAAGTACAATTACATGTGGACTGACACTTACACCCTGTCATTAACTTCAATGTATACAGCGACCGCATCTGAATAGGACACCTGGGAGAACTGCCGTAGGAATCCCAGAATGCCCATGTGAACAGGGCCTAAATATTCGTATAGATATCCCATTGCACTCCTTACAAGCATACCCCTTGGAGATGGGTGCAGGAAAATCCAGAAAATTACAGTTGCCAGCACACCAGAATCAAGTGTTCAAAATCGTCTTTATTTGACGCATGTACATTTTATCACAAAGGAAGCAACATTGCGGGGCCACTTTGGGTCCCTTCATCAGGCACAATATTTAATGGGGCCTAAATAGCACTCCAACATGTCTTGTGGCACCCGTGTGTGAAATTGCACCAAACGCATGGTAACAAAGCATAGCGCAAAAGAAGGTGTAGGAACCTTTTTGACGTAATTGTCAGGTGTAGGGCATTCCATTGAAATATATGGGCTGCCCTATACTTGATGCACAAAAATGTGCATACATGCGATGTCACACCCGCACACGTGTGAACGGGGGGCTTAGGTCCCCCTATGTTTCTGTCCATTGTGCTCCATGTAGACCTGGTTCATTGCTATAAATTACAGAGAACTTTGTTCCTGTGGCTCATTTGGAATATGTTTTCCAAGCTTTCTGCGCTCAGCCGGTTTATCGGTTTGGACAGATGAGTCATTCCTTCCCCTCCTCAACCACCATTCTCATGGCAGCACGGAAATCATCCGTGTGTGCTTCTTGCTTTGTCACAACAATTACATCCCAGAACATGCAGAGTGTTACTGAGTATTATCGGAGCATAATGCAGTCAAGCAGTGCAGTCGTTTTGGCAGCAAACAAATGAGACAAGTGTCCTTCTCCGGCAGACTCTTCATTTTATTGTACAGATGAATGTCTCTCTCTGAGGGTGGCAGATGTGATAGGACAGATGTTGGTGGAAATTACAAGGAAGCACACTGTGAATCAATAGTCTTCATGCTGTTATAATGTCTCACAAAGAGGAACTTTACTATCCATGTTGGTTGTATTTTTTTTATAGTTACTGCTTTTCTGCAAGAAATGGATTTCAGTAGGTTGAAGGATGAAGTGTTTTGCTTAGTGATGAGTAGGCTTGGGGGAAAGCCACATGGACCTTAGCTCAAGGCAAAGCATTTAGGTCGTCCTCACACCACAGTGTTGCATTAATCGTACAATACCACACGATATGCATGCTATTGTACAACACACCTGCTGCATGGCCAATCATTTCAACAGCACCCCAACACACCTTCCAGCTTTGATTAAAGGAGAACTATGGGCTTAGGGCTTTTCCCCATAGTTCTAAGGGTAACGGGAGGACACAAGCTAGCATCCTCCCGTCACCTAAAGCTCAGTATACCGCGAGCTACAGCGGTATACTGAGACGCCGCAGCTGAAACGGCTCCCGACAATTATGTCTGGATCCGCCCAGCTGCGTGAGTGACAGCTGGCTCTGCCTATCTAGAGGCAGAGCCAGCTGTACCCGCCCCCTCCCCCGTCCGTTCCGCCAGTCAGCGCTGGAGGATCGGACAGGGGTGGGGGGAATCGAGTCACTCCCCTGTCACGGCTCTCTGCAGTGACAGGATCGAGAGGTGAGCGAACGCCGGTATGTGTTCGCTCACTTCCCGATCTATAGAGCCGACCTGTGAAAATCACTCGCCTCATAGTTCTCCTTTAATGCAATGCTATGGTGTGAATTGGCCCTTATGGGGAGTGGGGGAACAACCTGGTTTTCTTTTATGTTCCCCAGGAAAGATTTCAGTTGTGTTGAAGCTGAACTCCAGACACAAAACATTGATTTAAAAATCATATATATGATGTAGTCTGTCATGGCATTAAAGAAGAACTCCAGGAAAACAAAAAAACTTACCCTTGCAGTGGGGCAGCTTTCGCACTGTTAAGTGCTCATTTTGTCTAAGGGACTCAAATAAAGGTATGCAACTTACCTGATTCCCTGTCCTGCCAGCTCCCTCCAGGCTGCTAGACTGGTCCACTCAAATCACAGGATGCTCATCTTTGGAGTTAACTTATAAAAAAATATTTTTTCCTGAAGTTCAGCTTTAAGACTTTGATGGCATGACCTCCTACAGTACCTAGTCACTTTGTCCTGGAGTTCAACTTTAAGGACTTCAGTGGTATGATCTCCTAGAGTTCCTGGCCACCTTGTCCTGGAGGTCAGCTTTAAGGACTTCGGTGATATGATCTCCTACAGTACCTGGCCCCACCTTATCCTGAAGTTCAGCTTTAAGGACTTCAGTGGCATGATCTCTTACAGTTTCTGGCCACCTTGTCCTCAAGTTCAGCTTTAAGGACTTCAGTTGGATAGCAGTGGTGCTGCTAGCTCTGTAAGATAATGAAGATCTCACTGGCTGCCTTCCAGGGAGGTAAGTATCTAGCCTCTGCTATTACAGGAACCAGCTGCCTCTATTTTTATTATTTATTTATTACAGGTATTTATGTAGCGCCGAAAATGTACGCAGCGCTTTTGCATGTGCACATTCACATCTGTCCTTGCCTTCAAGGAGCTTACAATCTAAGGTCCCTATATCACATGCATACATACAGGGCCAATTTAGACAGGAGCCAATTTTTACCTTCCAGCATGTCTTTGGAGATGCAACAGGATCACTTTAAGGTATTTATAAATATGAACACTGTGATCATTGCCATCTAGCCCAGTTTCAGTAGGGACCTACGTTTTAAGGGAGTTGATGGATCTCCTGAATTGGATCATTTTGGCTGATTGTGATTGTTTTCCTGTGTCTGGGGGGTTGTCCTCTATCACCATTTCATGATAATGCACCAGCATGCACCCATCATTTGGAAAAACAAGCATTCAGGAGTGGTAGTTTTCCGTCTTACATAAGCAATCTTTTGGTGTTGATTTTCCACGGTGCTAAAATCACAGCCACCGTACCAAGCATTTTTTTTAATATTCCCATCACTCATTTGATGCATGGGTCCTTTGTTTAAAAGTAAATATTTAACAAGCGCTCCATGTGAAATGTTAGAGGAAATAAAAATGGTCATGTAAATGACTTGAAGCAGAGAATGATTAAACTTCTTAGAATTTCTGGCACACAGGAGAAAAACATTTAATGTTTTCTAAGCTCTCTTCCCTGCTGACTCTTTTCAGGTTTTGTCAGTACAAGTCTATTATCGGGAAAATTGCTGAAGATTGGACGCTTGGATCTCCTAGGCATCAACAATGAAGCACTTCATGAAGTGAGTAATTGGCAATGTCTTTTCATCTTAACTTTCCGAAGTAATATAACATCTACCTAGCACTTCCTATGTGTCTGGGGCAGCCATTTTGTGAGCTTCAAAGGTATATATGAAACTGCATCCTAATGAGGCCAAATTATCCACAGGCCCCAGCCCACATAGTACTACTGCAGTTGTCTCATTTAGTTAAATGTTCCAACACAGCAGCTACTGACGTTTACCTTTTACTGTATTTGGGAAAGCCATTCATAGTTGTGATCACAATGCTCAAGTATTTGCCTGAGGGCTGATAAATCATGTCTGTACATCTGGCAGTCTTAAGGTGGCCATACACCTTACAACCATCGCAAGACTTTCGTTGTGCGATGGTTGTTGTAAGGTCATTAAAATTTCGTACGATCTGCCCATCTTGGACAGGTAGATCGTACTTGATTGCAGTGCACGATGATTCCAGTGCTGAGCGGGCAGTGTGCGCTTGCGCACACCGGCCCGTGCGGCACTCGTCTTCCGAGCACGCTACCAGCCCGCCGAAAATCGTACGATTTTCGGCTGGTTTTCAAGCGCGCTAGGAAGACGAAAGTCGTGTGACCGTACAGTAGATGTGGTCGCACGCTGCCCATACAACTGCTGCCCATACAATTATCGCACGATCGCGTGTGTATGGGCACCTTTATGGAGTCCATTGGGGGTGGGCAGCACTCTTACCCTGCCTAGGACCCTGTATTGTCTTTATTTTGAACTCCAAACAAAAAGTAAATGTATCAATTAAATACATACAAGAGAGCTGTTACCTGCCAAGGCATTTGTTACTCTGTCCATCCAGACATGCGATGTACACAGCTCTACCACACAGCACAGTATTGGCAGGGCAGGAGACCTGATTTTTCTCTGCTGCAGTTAAAGTAGTATTAAATGCTCAGATTTTTTTTTTCAATAATGAATCCCAGATTAAACAAATATACATTGCCCAGCAAAGGATTTCTTTAAATGTTTGCCTACTCTCTCAGCTCCGCTTCCCTGAACTTCCTGTCCAGTAAGAAGTTCACAAGGGAAAGTCTCAGAAACTGTTCTTCTACTAGCTTGGAGAAGGGAGGAGTGATGAGCAGGGGAGGCTTGCCTTATTGTGCCTGTGTGTTTGAGAAGGCACACACAGCTTACTAGCACTAACAAGGGTGGCTCCATAGGACCCTGCAAGGCAAAAAGACACCCTAAAACAGGAAATCGGGGACCAAATGCTCAGGGGCCTACTGATTCTGCAGAAAGCTCAAAACTTTAAACATCAAGGAGTAGCATCCTTTTAAAGTGATTTAATCAACATTTGAAATTAAAGTCAAAAGGTTTTTCAAATCACAATGGATGCTGTTCATTGATGTTTAAATGTTTAGCTTCCTACAGTTTCACTGGTCCCCTGAGCATTGGCCCTGATGTCCTGTTTTAGGGTGGCTCCTTTCCCATGAAGGGTCCTATGGAGCTGCCCTTGTGTGTGATAGTAAACCGTGTGTGTCTCCAAAAAGACACAGCAAGGCAAGTCACTCTTCTGCTTCCGGCTCCTACCTCCTCCCTTCTCCAAGCCAGTAGATGGACAGCTGCTGGAGACTGTGCTGTCCCTTGTGATCTTATGTACTGGACAGGAAGTGCAGGGAAGCAGAGCTGAGAAAGTTGGAGCTTTTGAGTATAATACCACTTTTAACTTATTAGACACAGTGGATTTGTTTGTAAAGAGTGATGATCATGTCTTTGTTTGCATGCTTATAGAAACCTGAATGTGCAATGTCCTCTGTTATCAATGATTATAAAGGATGGATTGGTTAACAAAAGTGCAGCCAACAGAAAATGATCCAAACACTGCTGTGGTCAAATCATTTCTAATTGTGCTGATGGCAGAATATGTGCACACTTGTCCCCAAATGTTATAATTGTCAAGGCAATTACAAGGCAGGAAAGTGAAATATATTTGATTCAGAATTGCTTTCTTATTTAGGAATAAATAAACGGTAACTTTGCCAATAAAGTACTTTTTGGGTACTCAACGTGTAACTTTTATCGCTTATGAGCAAGCATCAGAAAATAACTGTTTCAGCAAACATTCTGGTTTACAACCGACGTACCAGTAGTATCTAAAGCCCTCGTTGGCCATACATCTGTTTCATTCTCCTCATGCTTGTCCCTCATGTCTTGTGGCTGGTATATGGGGAGGTGGGTCCTGTTGTATGCTGACTCAAAGCTAAAAACGTCCATGTCGTTGGTCCCAACTCCACCTCCCCACTTTTTCCATTATATCATTTTTTGGAAAAGCAACCAGATAAATGAAAGGGTGGACTCTAACATACATTTATAAATATTTTTAACATATTAAGTAGCTAAATAATATTTATTTGTGCAAATATGTACATAAAATTTGGACAGTTTTGGAGGAAAAATGGATTGAGGACCAAATGGGCAGTGGTGGGAGCAATGTACTTGGCAGCATTGGTCATGCTTGGTGAACATCAGGAACACTAGGTGTAAAGTGACACTAAACTCAGGTGTTACACCTTAAAAATGCATTAAAAAAACATTGTAGTCTATCGCAGGAGTGAGTTTGGAGCGGTGACTACAGGCAGTCCCCGGGTTACGAACAAGATAGGGACTGTAGGTTTGTTCTTAAGTTGAATTTGTATGTAAGTTGGAACAGGTACATTTTTTAAGTGTAACTCCAGCCAAAAAACTTTCCATTAGGTTTGGATAGCATAGGGAACGGTTAACCTCCTGTAAAGTTTGTTTTGCTGTGTGTGCCCCTGTTCAGAAGATTTCACCTCACTTTCTGTCCATGTGACAATTGGATTTTGAAAATTTGGGGTAGTGTTGGAAACAAGGATTGGCGATAAAGCTTCAGCGGAAACACCTTTTTTCCATGATAACACTTACAGGAGAGAATTTTCCCTCCTAGGGGTAGATTTCCTCTCACTTGCTGTTGTCTACAGTAATAGCCACCATTTGTAGGAAGGGGTCATACGTAAGTCAAATGTTTGTAACTCGGGGACTGCCTGTACTTCCCAACACACACAGGGACCACGGGGGAACAAAAGTAGCCCCCCTCCAGAAGGAAGGACAGTGTCAGCACCAATTCCGAGATGATTTGAGGATCTACAGCCGGGTGATACACAAATAAGATACATTTTTGTTATTAGTTAAGGTACTTGAATGTATTTTAAGGCTGGTTCACACCTGGCGTGCCAAATAGGCGCATTTTATGCTCGTTTTTTTCACGTTTTAAGCACGTTTTTTTGTTCACTGAAATGTGCGTTCAACACTCGTTTTTTAACCTCCCTGGCGGTATGATTTTAGTTAATTTTTTTTTCTCTATCTTTTTTTGATTTTTTAAAAACTTCCCGCCGGTTACGCCCCCCTGCGACGCGGACGCTCGCAAGGGACGGAACCCGGAAGACGGCAGCGGCCGGAGGACACAGCGGGGATCGCGGACAAGGTAAGACCTACGCTGTATTCCCGAGTGTGGCTCGGGGGTTACCGATTTGTTAACCTCGAGCCACACTCAGGAATACCAATAGATACGTGCTGAAATACGCCCCAAAGAAGCTCCTGTACTATTTTGGGCGTAGGGCTTTTTTCAGCGCGACAAAACGCGCTGAAATACACCCAGGTGGGAACCATGCCCATAGGGATTCATAGGATTTCACTGCTTGAGCGTTTTTTGGCGCTTCGATCAGCGATGAAAAACGCCCAGGTGTGAACCGGGCTTAAAGGTTTATCTCCTGAGTTTAGTGTCACTTTAAGGTTTGTAGTTGAAATGATCTGGATGAGTGTCTTTGAACGTTAGAAAATGTTTAAAAGTTTGTTCATAAACAGTCCGTATAGAGGCAAAAACAAATGTTTTTAGTATATTTTATTTTTTGCCTCAAATGTAATGTAATACCACATTATGGATACTAGATGGAGCATAGAAAAGAAATGCTTATTTCCAATGCTCCTCAGCTCCATCTAGTGGCCATAATGCAGCATTTATATATTACATTTGACTTGGAAAGAAAATATACTGAGAACGTTTGTTTTTGCATCTATTCACGCAGAGCGAACATTCACAGAGATTCGTAAGAAGAATGGCTCTGCAAATTGTTTATAAATAGACCAAGTGTTTATGTTTTTCTAAGCATATTTAGTAGAACTTAAGCTGGCCATACACCATTTGAATTTCGTTTAAAAAAACTAATTCGAAGATCGTTTTCTGCCGTAGTGACAAAAACATTGAAGGAGCAGAATGGAAAATTTTTCACAAGCGAACAAAATTCTAACACTGAATGTGGTTTTCATCTGGGAAATAGCATTTATTCCAATATTGAATGTTAGCATCACAAGTAACTTTCATTTACAGACATAAGTCTCTGATGGCATTATCGAATGTTCTGATGGCAGTTTTTATATGAACGTTTGTATGAAAATCTAGCAGTGTATGGCCAGTTTTTGGCCCCTTCTTTAGGAGACAGAAGACTGTAAGGCTCTCCAAATGCAACAGGTCTCTAACCACTGAATTAGAGGAATACCCCCCCCACCCCACCCCAGTGCACCTCCCCATGCAATCCTGCACTCTGACCTCATCGTTCAGCCCCAACCCAATCACTATCCAAATCCTGCCGCCGTCACCTCCATAACATCTCCAAAATACGCCCCTTCCTCATGAATGAAACCGCAAAACTACTCATCTACTCACTTATCTCTCGTCTTGACTATTGCAACTCCCTCCTCATTGGCCTACCTCTACACTGGCTGTCCCCCCTTCAGTCTATCATGAATGCTGCTGCCAGACTCATCCACCTCGCCAACCGCTCAGTGTCTGCAACCCCCCTCTGCCGATCCCTGCACTGGCTTCCACTCGCCCAAAGGACAAAATTCAAAATATTAGCAACCACTTACAAACAACAACCACTAACAACCGCCTCCAGAAATTAAACGTATTCACCTTAGAAAAGAGGTGCTTAAGAGAGGACCTAATTCCAATTTTCTAA